TTTTTTTTTTTTTTTTGCAATAAAATCTCAGTCATAGCATTCAGAATCCAAGTAAGGGAAAAATATACTTCCAAGATCCGAAATGAATTAACAGAAAAACTTTTTAGACCGATTTGAAGAGATTCATATACGCAACGCCGAGAAATAATATCCGGTGTGAGAAATTCAATTAATCGAGATTCAGAGGTTGAAATTTCACTTCTACCTTCGCATTGCAGCAATAATTCCTTTGACATTACGACCTTTACCACAATGATGTTGTTCATGAATCCATTTATTTCGTGGATTGAATTTCACTCTTCCTGGGAGTACCCCGAAAAAAGAACATTTTCTCTCCATGCCTTTTTGGTTAAGAAGATGTGAAAGCATAGTTTTTTTACCCAGACCGGCCTGGCGGTTCGGCCCGGGACCCGGTTGACTCGTAGCCGGAACCGGTCCTGGTGAGCTATTTGGACCTGGCAACAAATGACCCGGTCAAAACCCGACAGACCTGGTGCATTGACCCGGTCGTTGACCACCGACCCATATATATATATATTTATTTTTTAGAAATGATTTTGTTACTTTAATGTATATTTATATGACAAAAATACTCTATATATAATTTTAAAATTAATTATCCAGTTCAGCAATTGATCTGATGACCCGACGGGTGAACCGGTGACTCGATGACTCGGAGACCTGTCGGGGTTGATTACGGGGTCGGGTTTAAAAACTATGTGTGAAAGGATGTTTGTCTCTATAGAAATGGTCCAATAGGAACAAGATAATTCAAGAACAATTGGAACATTTCCTAGAGGTATAAAAAAAAAATTCTTTTTTTTTTGCGATGGTAATCCCTACCTAATAAATTCCAGGATTTCAGTAAAAATGAAAGAAAAAAGGAATGAGTTCATAAGAAGATCCCATTCTCAAACCAAAAACGAAGGGGTATGGCAAAATCGGTATAGGTTTCCAAAGAAGGAGGAGAAAAAGAGGAAGGATGGTTTGAAGTTCACGCGCATACGCATAAAAGAAGAATAGCTATCAAGAAAGTATGCAATCTCAAATAATAAGAAATAGAAAATAAATCAAATGAAATCAAGTAAATAATAAGAAAGTATAAAGAAATCAAATAATAAGAAAGCATAGTTTATCTTAGAATAAAAAATACAAAAGAAATCAAAAGGAGGTTTATGGTGATTTTTCAAAATTTTCAAAAACATTATCTAGCGTCAGCGAGTGAGACAAAAATTGAAAGACCTTATGAAGTTTATAGAGAAATAAATAAATAAATAAATATGGAGGATTTTATGATTTTCCAATCATTTCTACTACGTAATCTAGTGTCAGCAAGAGAGACAAAAATGAAAGACCTTAGGAGGTTTATAGAGAAATAAATAAATATGAAGGCTCTTATGATTTTTTTTAATCTTTCAACGACGTAATTTAGTATAAGCAAGTGAATCAAAAATAAAAAACCTTAGGAGGTTTATAGAGAAATAAATAAATAAGAAGCTCTAATGATTTTTCAATCTTTTCTACTATGTAATCTAGTGTCAACAAGCGATACAAAAATGAAAGACCATAGGAAGTTTCTAGATAAATAAACAAATAAATATGGAGGCTCTTATGATTTTTTAGTCTTTTTTACTACGTAATACAGTGTCAGCAAGTGAAACAAAAAATGAAAGACCTAAGGAGGTTCATGAAGAAATAAATCAAATGGTGGCTCTAATTATTTTTCAATCCTTTCTGCTACGTAATCTATTGTCAGCAAGTGAAACAAAAATAAAAGACCTTAGGAGGTTTATAGGGAATAAATCAATATATAATTATGAAAACTCTAATAATTTTTCAATCTTTTCTACAGCGAGTGAAACAAAATGAAACACCTTAGGAGGTTTATTGAGAAATAAATAAATATACAAATATATATATATACACATAAATTTACATATATATGAAGACTCTTACGATTTTTCAATCTTTTGTAATACGTAATCTAGTGTCAGCAAGGAAGACAAAAATTTAAAGACATTAGATAGAGAAAAATAAATAAGTATAGAGGTTCTTATGATTTTTCAATCTTTTCTACTACGTAATCTAGTGTCAGCAAGTGAGACAAAAATAAAAGATCTTATGAGGTTTATATAGAAATAAATAAATAAACAAATATAGAGGCTCTTATGATTCTTTAATTTTTTCTACTATGTAATATATTGTCAGCAAGTGAGACAAAAATGAAGACCTTAGAAGATCTATGATGATTTTTTGAAATTTTTACTAGGTAATCTAATACCTTATAGTGCATGAAGAAATCAAATAATAAGAAAGCGTAAAAAAATCAAATAATAAGAAAGTATAGTTTATCTTAAAAAGGCAGAGTTAGTTTATTCCAAAAAATCAAAATTTAGTTTATCTTCAAAAAGCATAATAGAGCTAAAAGAAGCATAGAAACGTGCTTTTCAAGCCCTTAAACGTTCTTAGAAACGGCGCATAAACATCTTGGCTTACTGAAAGTCGAAAGCAAGCCTTTCTTCAGCCGCTAGGTATGGAAAAATTGATAGAGACCTTACTTTATTGCTCATATGATCTGTATAGGACGCGGTCAATGAGAATTAATTATTGAAGATAGACATACCGGTAACACAACAAGGGCATCAATCATGGCCTAAAACATATTTTAAAAGCCCATAAAGGCCCATTTATAGGTCAGGGTTATAAAAGCACAATAATAAAGAGAAAGTGGAAAGTTGTCACATAAGGGATAGCTCGAAAATAAATTCTTTCTATTTGATTTTGATTGTAAAGTACAAAATCATCTCCAAAGATCTCGGTCAGAATGAATATTTTTCTGGAAGGATCAAAACAAAACATGTTTGGATCTTCTGCGAGAATGCATTGGAAGCCCAAAATTCTAGGAATTCGTCGAGAGTTAGAGTAGATTCGTAGACTGGGTTGGCTGATCCATTTAGATTTAAAAAATAACGAGAGATATGGAAAAAGCAGGTTCGATACCGCATGTTCCTAATCTTAAATGGAATCAAAAGATATAGGGTGACATATAGTTTATCGCATAACTACATCGCTAGCTCGAGGTTTGAATTTCTTCGTGGCAGAGATAAAAAATTATCACACTTTATTAGGTTTATGGAATCAATTCAACTTATTAAGGTATTTCATTCACTGTTTTCGACCAAGAATGTTTTCTAAAACTGATCTGATCAAATATTCTATGAGAAATCTCAAACGTAAAGTGGCGACTTTAAGAAGATATCACAAAGACCCAAATACCCTTCTTTTTTTTTTACCAAGCAAAGAAGTTTATTTATTTATTTTTTTTGTGGCTACTGGAATCATTACCATTTTTTTTCGAACTATTGGATATTTTGTCATAAAGAGAGTTCTTTCGGTTCAAAATCTCAAGATCCGAGCGTTTGGAATTGGAATAAGTTTAACACTGGATTGCGAAATCTTGTTGATTTTCTCTATCCAATGAATGAGAATATGTATTCTCTCAGGTGGGAGCGGAAATTCCGTCAAGTGAGGGCAAATTCCGTCATTTGAGGGGCGATTCCTTATTATGAGGGCCAACCCATCCTCGTTTCATTTATCTTTCTTCAATCTCCTGGTGTTTATTCTACATTTTGGTGCTTCTTCAATCTTCTAGGGTTCTATTTTCTCTACTATAGAAACGACTGGAGATAAACCGGGGTTGGAGGAGGAAATGGCACGCCTAAATAAGTTCTCTCTATCTGGAGAAGAGAGTTTTGTCATTGATATCGAAAACAACGACATTACAGCAAGTGCGGAGGAATGCAGCAGAAGCTTAGTTGGCAAAATTATCGTCAACCGCCGAGCATCACTCATTGGACAGAGAAGAACCCTAATAGGCATATGGAGGATTCAACAAGGAATGGAGGTTCGTGAAATCTCATCTAACTTCTTCCAATTTATCTTCGAAAGTAGAGATGATATGCAGAAAGTCCTCCAGGGTACAAACTGGATATATGAAAATCAATACCTAGGCCTACATGAATGGCAGAAGGGTATTAGTGAGAAAGACAGTTACTTTCAGGAAGTTAAATTATGGACCCAAGTGCACAATGTTCCCATGGATTGGCTAAGCAGGGATGTTGGGCTGAAGATAGGACAGATTTTCAAACGAATTCAGAATGTGGCAACCTCTAATGCAGGAGGATCAGGAGCCATAATAATCAGGTTACTGGTATCAGTGGACATAAACAAACCACTCCCTCGTTGTTCCTCCATTAGACTGGGAGTGGAGATAGTCACAGTGACATTCAAGTATGAGAGGCTAATTAATTTATGCTATTACTGTGGAATATTGGGCCACCTAGATAAAGACTGTCAAAAATTGGCAAGAGACATAACAAATGGGGAGATGAAGGAAGGGCAATATGGTTTATGGTTAAAAGCAAGTGAAGCCAGATTTAGCACTACATCTGGACAAAGCAGCAGAACCTCTGATCAAGGACCAGAAACTCCAACAGACTTCCATCAGTCCCCAGCTAACACCAGCAACACAGGAAACCAAGAATGCAGACTCCTCACTAACAAAGTTGACAACCCAAGCCAGCTCCAAAAGAATCCTAGTTTGGTTGAATCCAGCTCCTCAAGACAAGAATTTGTCAATGGCCAGAGCACACCCAAATCTACAGTGCCTCAACTTACCACTCTGTTGGTTGACACACCAATACATGAGGAAATGGAATACACCAAGGCAATGGAGCACAACTCAACACCTAAGGCAGCTCAGCAGACATTAGCTTTGACTATGGGGGAAAACACTCCCTTCCATAACACAGAAGTTATCACAACTCTGAAAACTTGGAAGAGAACTGGCAACAAAGAAGGCAGACTTCAAAGGAAGCAGATGAAGAGTGATGATCACTCTCAAATGCAGAACCTCAAGAGAGGAAGACAAAGAGGCACTCCTCTATCAACGGTTGAGGAAGAACACAAAGATGAGGAGACAAGCAAAAAGAGAATGAAAAATACCTCTGATCAGGTGGAGAAGGCCAGCCTCAAATGCCCCTAGAGTGACCAATGAATGCTCTGGTGTGGAATTGTAGAGGCCTGGGTGAGGCCTCTACAGTTTCCCAAATCAAGGAGTCATTAAGGACCCACCACCCCTATTTTACCTTCTTATCTAAAACCAAAAAGACAAAACATTACGTTTTGACAGTTTGTAAAAAGCTTGGATTTGCTGACAGATGCAAGATAGTAGATCCTAGAGGACTTAGTGGTGGACTATTGTTGGCATGGAACACAGAAGTAGAGATCAAACAAGTTATCTGTAATACTTTCTGCATAGAAGTTGAATTTAGAAACCACAACTCTGAGCCATTCAGATGGGCAGTTTTTGTTTACATGAGCACTGACAAGAGTACTAGAGAATCTCAATGGAGAGACCTTGAATTCAAAAAAGAATCTTGGGGACACAGCTCGTGTATCATTGGGGACTGGAATGACTTATCCAAACCAGATGACAAGAGAGGTGGAAGGCTAAGATCTCAGAGCAGTTGTCTGGGCTTTAAAACCTTTATATCCAACATGGGCATGACTGAACTCTTCCACAAAGGCCATCCCTTCACATGGGGAAATAATAGGACTGAAGAGGGTTTTGTTGAGGAAAGCTTAGACAAGGGGTTTGCTACTCTGGAATGGCTCAGAAGTTTCCCTCAGTCCCAAACTACCTCTATATTTAAAAGTTCATCAGACCACTATATGTTCCTTCTAGAGTCTGAACCTGACAAGCCTCAATATCATTGAAGGTTTCAATTTGAAAAAAAATGGCTTCCTAGAGAAGGAATTGATGTGGTTCTTCAACAAGCCTGGGGAGATCACCAAGGAGGAACCCCATTATTCAGTCTCAAAGAGAAGATTAAGAAGACCAGACTTACCCTGCTAAAGTGGAGCAAATACTTCAGATCAACCCAGAAGACTCAGCTAACCACTTTGTCTATGAAACTGGAAACCATGAGAGATGAATGAGGTCACAGCAATTGGGAGGAATGAGATAAGCTGCAAAGAGAGATGGATGAAGCTAATCAATCTGAAGAAATTTTCTGGAAACAAAAAGCCAGAACCCAATGGCTGAAGGAAGGAGACCACAACACCCATTTCTTCCATGCTTGGGTGATGCAGAGGAGAAAGCACAATGCCATAAGCAGGCTAGTTACTGTTTATCAGAGAATCTATACTTCTAAAGAAGAAATTGAGCAACATGTTGAAAATTTTTACAACAATCTCTTCACATCAGAAGGATCACTTGGGGGGCACAACCTTCTTCAACATATACCCAACTCAATTTCAGAGGAGGAAAACAATCAGCTCTTAGCACCAGTAGAGGAAGATGAGATCAAACAATCCTTATTCTCTATGAACCCTGGCAAATCCCCTGGCACTGATGGCATGTTGGAAAATCAGTAATATAAAATTGGGTATGACCCGATTTTGACTGATTTGTTGATGGCTAAATATTTAATTTGAGTTAAATTAAATAATGTAGAAAAATTCTACGTTCCGAGTAGAAACTCGTGGTATAGTTCTCAATACTGATTTTCAGTGAGTGAGAAATAAATGTTAGCCATAAATGGGCACGCAGAACGTTGGTTGTGGGATTCGAATGGTCAAATGTCTTATCCCACATAGAACTCTTAAATGAGAGTAACTCTCTTTATTATGATAAAGAGAGTTGGAGAGGTCACAACAATAACAAATTTATGTACCAAATGTTAGTATATAAACGAGTTGGTTTTGCACTCGGGTTTCGGCACAACCCGTATGACATCATTCTAGGTACATTGAACCTAGACGTGTGACCTTTCAACCCCATAACGGTTTCAAGAGTTATGAGGTGGATTAATGGTGATTAAACACCATAATGTTGCCCATTTATAAGGTTGATTAATGGTGAGTTAAACACCATTATGTTGCTTATTTATAAAGGTGATTAAAGGTGAATTAATCACTATAATGTAGCCATTATAAGGTGGATTGAATGCCACTAATGGCTACGATGACCACCAAACTTCTCCCACTTGTGATGGAAGTCCTATAAATAGGACATAGAGTTGTAGAGGAAAGTAGACTGAACGAGACACGAAAAATCTCATATGCATTCTCAACTCTCTCATATCTCATAGCCTCACGCATACATAGTGCTCAGTTCTCGTCTCTATTCCTGTTCGCTGGAACTCTGAAGACTGGTGTGCTACAGCTTTCGAGTGTATAGCCGTTGTATCTTTGGGGACATTATGCACAGACCCGTCAACACTACACGGGGCGTATTTGTCTTGCGGAAAGATTTCAATCGCCTCGACTTTAATCTGTCCGCATTCGAGTTGTATTTTACATTTCTTGTTTAGTTCATATTGTTCGAACTGAACTCTTTAGTCAGTTCATAGGTTCCCGTTGTAATCAAAACACAAATTGTGTAACAATCGCAAGACAAATATTGTCAACCTACTGAACTGATGGCATCCACTGGAGAAAGATCACGAACTCAACATCCGATCAACCCTGTTGTGGCAAAGGACTGCAGGAGTCCTAAGAAGGCTGGGCCAAAGAAGGCACAACCGAGTGCCCTTGTTGTTGAACACGACCCTGTGCCGGGTGAACTGACCGACTTTGATATATCGGCTGTAGTGTTTGAAGCAAATTTGGTGGATAACCCAAGGGAGTGTTACATCGATACTGGTGCCACTCGTCATGTGTGTTTCGATAAGGAGGTATTCTCTGAATACACTCTTGCTAAGGGTCGGAAACTTCACATAGGAAACTCCTCCACGTCTGATGTGGCTGGAGTTGGCATAGTGGTGCTGAAGCTGACTTCTGGAAAGGAGTTGAAGCTTAAGGATATGCTGCATGTCCCAGACATCCGCAAGAATTTTGTCTCCAGATCTCTTCTTGTAGAGCATGGTTTTAAGATAGTGTTTGAAGCTAAGAAGTTTATTCATTTGCAAGTATGGTACTTTCCTTGGTCGTGGCTATCTCGACAAGGGTTTATTTAAAATGAATGTAATGGCTGTGAGCCGTGTAACCGTTTCCACTGATAATGAAAATCGTACTTCTGTTTATATCGTGGAGTGTTCTGATTTATGGCATATTAGATTAGGACATGTGAATCTAAATGCAATTAAACAGTTGATGAACTTAGAATTAATTCCTACTTCTAAAATTGAATCACACAAAAAATGTGAAATTTGTGTTGAAGCCAAAATGGCTAAATTACCTTTTCACTCGGTGGAAAGAAATACTGAACCGTTGGGTTTAATCCATACTGATGTATGTGCCTTGAAGTTTGTGCAAACAAGAACGGGTAAAAGATATTTTATAACTTTTATTGATGATTGCACAAGGTTTTGCTACTTATATATTTTAAGAAGCAAAGACGAGGCTGTGGAAGCTTTTAAAAATTTTAAGACCGAAGTTGAAAATCAACTCGGCAAAAAGATTAAAATAATTCGAAGTGATAGGGGTGGGGAGTATGTAGCTCTATTTGAACAAATATGTTCTGAATATGGCATAATTCATCAAACGATGACCCCCTATTCTCCACAGTCGAACGGTGTTGCTGAACGCAAGAACCGGACTTTAAAAGAGATGATGAATGCCATGTTAATAAATTCAGGATTACCCCAGAATATGTGGGGGGAAGCTGTTTTAACAGCAAATCATATTCTGAATAAAATACCACCTAAAGGGAAAAGTGAGACTCCTTACAAAATGTGGAAAAATCGTAAGCCGTCTTATAAATACCTGAAAGTGTGGGGGTGTTTGGCTAAGGTTTCAGTTCCTAAACCAAAACAAATGAGAATCGGACCCAAGACGGTCGATTGTATTTTTATTAGATATTCTTACAATAGTACTGCATATAGATTTCTGGTTCATAAATCAGAAAATCCGGAGGTATCAGTTGGTACCACTGTTGAGTCGAGGAATGCTATATTCTTCGAGAATATTTTTCCTTTGAAAGAAAGGGTAGAATCTAGTTCTAACAAAAGGACATATGAAACTGCTAACGGTTCTGTACCAGATGGTACTGAAGATAAAGAAGAAGAACCGAGACGTGGTAAAAGGGTAAAAACGACAAAAATGTTTGGACCTGATATTATTACGTATATGTTGGACGAATGAATCGAGTTCCATTAAGGAAGCTCTGTCTAGCCCAGATGGACCACTCTGGGAAGAAGCTATAAATAGCAAAATCGAGTCCATTATGCAAAATCATACATGGGAGTTGATTGATCTCCCTGCGGGTTGTAAATCTTTAGGATGCAAGTGGATCCTAAAAAAAAAAAATACAAAGCTGATGGAACGATTGATAAGTTTAAAGCAAGATTAGTGGTCAAAGGCTTTAAACAAAAAGAAGGGTATGACTTCTTTGATACCTATTCACCTGTGCACAATCTTGAGATTCATCAAATGGATGTCAAAACGGCATTCTTGAATGGTGAATTAGAAGAAGAGATTTACATGGAACAACCCGAAGGTTTTGTAGCACTTGGATAAGAGAAAAAGGTGTGCAAATTGATTAAATCCTTGTACGGACTTAAACAAGCTCCGAAACAATGGCATTTGAAATTTGATGACGTGGTGTTGTCAAATGGGTTCAAAATCAACGAATGTGATAAATGTGTATGTTAGATACACATCAAATACATATGTAATTTTATGTCTATATGTAGACGATATGTTGATCATGGGGAGTAGCCATGACGTGATCATGGATACGAAACGAATGTTGAAAAGAAATTTCAACATGAAAGATATGGGTTTAGCTGATGTAATTCTTGAATAAGAATTATCAGAACCCAAGATGGAATTGTCTTGTCACAATCTCATTACGTAGAGAAAGTGCTCAAGATATTTAAAGCCTATGAAGGTTCTCTATCTAGGACACCCCTTGATCTTAGCGTAAATCTGGAAGCCAATAAAGGTCAACCAGTTGCTCAATTGGAATATTCACGGATAATAGGGAGTCTAATGTACTTGACGAACTGTACACGACCAGATTTGGCCTATCCGGTGAATAAGTTGAGTAGATTTACGAGCAATCCTATCTAGTCATGAGCACTGGAATTCTTTGAAAAGGGTACTGAAGTACTTAAAGTACACCCTTGAATACGGGCTAAAATACTTGAGATATCCAGCAGTACTTGAAGGATATTGTGATGCAAGCTGGATATCGGATTCGAGAGATTCTCACTCCATAAGTGGATATGTCTTCTGTATCGGAGGAGCTGTTTCGTGGAAGTCCACAAAACAAACTTGTATAGCTCGGTCAACCATGGAGTCGGAGTTCATCGCTTTAGATAAAGCTGGTGAAGAAGCCGAGT